TAAATAATTGTACATGCCAAAAGATCCCTTGAAAATCATTCGGAGGAATTACACAAGGTATGTGAAAAAATGACTCTGCGGCATAAGGAAATAGGAAAAATAACTACATCTACAATCACTCCACCTAGTCTCATACTCTGCACTATTACGAGATATGTACTTGTTAAAAGGGAATAGATTATGCCTTCAAGGCGGTCTCAAATTTCTGAAAAGTAAAATGTGATGCCTTTCTTCTCACTTTTAAAAATTCCTATATAAGGAAACTAGTTGAAGAGGTAGACTTTTGGTGAACTCCAGATGACTTGCAGGAGACAGCAAGTTTTAAGGCAGTTTCGCAGATACATTTTTCAAAACATTTTACTCTGTGGAAACATCCCTGAGTCTAGTATTTTCTAAGACGACTGTAGGAATTTAAATACAGGTCTTGAAGTCAGAAAGATGGCCTGGAGTCCTGATTCAGTCATTTAACAGCTTTGTAATAGAGTGTATCTTCCTGCATTTGGGGACTGCTAAAAAAAAGACTTGAAAAAATGAGGTTACATTTATCATGATAAACTACAAACCAACAGACAAAGCATAAGGACTAATTATTTGTTTCAGCCCTTTTATATGTAAAGACAGAGATCTCCTTCGTTTATACACCTAAATTTATAAACAGTTATGACCAACATGAAAATTGCCATTGGTCTTGTGTGGCATACATGTACTGTTTTAACATTTTCATCAAAATCTTACATCCACTAAGATTTACATTTATTCTCATCTCCCTTCTTCAATCCTTATTTGATGCCTATAAATACTAAGTGGATGGGCCCAGGAGAATGCACTTAGCAGCACCAACAAAACCAGCTGCAAGAGGATGCATAATCGTTCTGAAAATTACAGAAGCTATAAGCTTACTTACTTTCACTGAATTTTTTATTCACTATTATCTGGAGGGTACATCCTCTTTGAAATGGTTGGATTGTTTGCAAAAAAAAGATTGCATGCTAATTTCATAATGGGAAAAGAGTCATTTGTCTATTTCTCCTTCTGGCCTGATTTTTAGCTATTTTTGTGAATATCTTCTGTTTTTATTATAAAAGATGGTAAAATCCATTTGTAGAAGTACAAATATTTTCTCCCTTCTACACATAGAGTACTATGAGAGGTAAACTATGGGTCTGTCCCAGTAAGAAAATTCCTATGTTTGTTACAAAAGAAAAAGATACAGCAGCTCCTTTGATTTCATAAAATTTATTTCTTTCTGGAATATCTGCAAATCGAAGCTTAGCTTAATTTTCCTATTCAGAGACTGAGGTATCACTGACGTTGCTATGGCCTCAATAAACTAAAGGTACTATCTCTGGTTTATAAATCAGTGGACTAATCTTACCACTTCTTTTCTCCAAATTTTAATTCCACAGATAATAGTCCTAACTCTTTTAGCATGGAGTAAATATTAAATAGTTATTCCAGAATGTGATTTCTGAACATTTTATATGTTCCTCAGCTTTAATTGAATATGCCCCAAATCATACTTTGCATAAAGTATATGATATGGTATGATGACAAGAAAGTAAATTGTATTTGAGTATGTATGTATTTGTTTGACAAATAATCTATCTTCTTTTTATTCCAAAGTATTAGAAAAATATTATAGTATCACTATGTTCAGAAAGCGCTGGAGAAAGCAATAAATATTATACGTTTTCAGTGTCACTCTAATCAAAAGGCTATAAGAAAGTTAACAATTAAATATGTTAGATGAGTTTTGGAATAGCATGGGGACTTTATGCTGAAGTATGATTCAGGTAAAGCAATGCTCAGGTATTCTGGAATCTCCTATTATCTGAAAATTTCTTAAAAATATCTAATCTCATCAAATGGTAAAAAGTTCCATGAAAGAGTAAATTGGAACAAGGGAAAAATAAACCAAGGGGATTAAGGCAGGAGGAAAAAGATGTGTGTGTATAAATAAGCTCTATGACAGAGATAGGATTAGCATCCGCAAATATTTCAAAAATACATCAGGCTGAAGATGTTTTATTTAAAATACTGTATATAGAACAAAATGATGCACTTAGAGAAACTGCAGGAAGTAAATAAAATGTCAATGCATAATTATAGCTATGAGAAAAGATCGGTTATATGCAGATGTGCATATGATGTGGGCCTAAAATTCCTACCACTTTCAGCTAGGGCATAAAGAGCTGTTATAACACAAACATTAAATATAAGAGAAAACACATGGAGCCACTATTAATCATTAATGTCTTGGTATAGATTAAATTATCAGACTTATTCCTGTCACTTAGAAAGGTTTTGAAAAAAACAATGGAATTCATTGAAGTCAGTGGGCGAGCATGGGGAGCAGGGCCCAGTGTACAAGCTGCTGCCCTATAGGGCTGACCCAGGTAGGGACCTGCACAGGGGAACTGGGCTCCCAGGATTGCTTTCTTCAGGGCCATTCTGTAGAGATGACATTTATGTGTGTCTGAGTGAGTGTGGATGTCATAGAAGATCTCAGGGAATTCATAGCAAACCTTTACACATTGGCCATTCTAAATTATTCTTTAAACAATCATCCTTGGTTTTCATATAAGGACAAGATGACCTTATTTTTTCTCTACTTTAGAAACTTATATTCCAATTTTAAAAATAATATGTTGTCCTTAAAGAGATATATGGAGATTTATGTGTCCCCATGTGATAATTTTTAGACTTGAAGAAGGTAAATGTTTATCTTCTCCTCCTCCACAAATTCCCAAGACTACAGAACAGAAATCTGTATTCGAGGCTGAAATGCTATATTCTAACATATATCAACAACTTAAGCCTAGTCATTACAAAGCAATGCTTATGTAAAATACAGAATTATTCTTAACCTAAAAATTAAAAAATTAAGGAATCAAATATAAAATGCAGAAAATTCCTCGTCTTTTTTTGAGACATGCACTTTATTCAAGTATGACTTTTCAAAAGAATAAAATGTACTACAAAAATAAAAATGAATACTATAAGCATTAATAAAAAGAGAAAACTCAATAGATAAAAGTGTGAAAAAATACCATTAGAACTCATTAAACAAATAAGAAACAAAGATGACTAAAGAAGAAATCATCAAGGAAAAAAAAAGGTAACAGTCCCATTGTTTAGGTGATGTTATTAAAAGGAAAAGGTGTTATTTAAGGATAACTACGTTCTACCTGCTCTTAGACTTAAAAAAGTTTCAAGCTTTTAGTATCTTATCTCTTTACTGTAAGATAGCAATATTTATTTAAATAAGCAATAATTTGAAATATCATCCTTGAAAGTATTTCTTCTAATGGTTTTCTTTCTCCTTTTATATAGCATTCTTGAATATCTCAGCAGTTAAGTAAAAATTGAGGGCCTCAGAGACTGACTTTTTAAGACAGCCAAGGCATTAATCCACATGCGTGCATCGGCAACCACCAGGAATATAATTCATCTCAGTGCAGAGTTTCTCATTGAAAAACAGGCCAAGACTTAAGCAAATTGTGCATTTAGAGTTTCTTTTCCTTCTTCCTCTACATTCATTTTTTCTTTTTCCTTTTATGTTCATTTTAGTCATCCAGGGCCTTTCCACCTTTATCCTCCTTCCCCTTTACAAAGCATGAAAAAAACCCCCAGAAAGCCCAGCCATTGCACTTGCTTGTAACATATTCATTATAGTAAATAATCTAGTTCTTTGTATTCATAGAATGGCAGAATCTTTGTGTTGTAATAGCCTTTAAGATCAACTGTTTTAAATCACTTCCCAAATAGGATTTTTTCTGCATATTCTGGGTTGATGGCTGGTACATTTCTAGCACTTTTCAACACATTTCAGTAGTTTCATTAGAGAACATTTTCAGGGATAACAACTCTAATTGTTCTTATATTGAGTAAAAAACTTACTTCCCCACAGTGTTTGTACACAGAGCTTGATTCTGCACATGAAGTAATACAAAACAAAACCATTTCCCCATTATTTCAGCCCTTCAAAGTTCTGAAAACAGCTTCTTATTCCCCAAAGTCATCACTTCCCAAACTATTCCTTATTCCTTTAACATTACCCATGGATGCTAGTCAATAACACCTTAAAGATAGGATCCAGGAATAGACAACACATATAATACCATGCACATGTTCTAAAGGTGCCAAGTTCAAAGGGACTGAGATCTCTGTGATTTGGACACTTATCTTCTATTGATTCAGCCTAGGCTCATAATAGCTTTTGAGCAGCTGTGTCATGCTGTTACATCAGTGCCTTTCAAACGTGTCCAGGAAGCAGGGCTCTGAAAAGTCATGGGACTCTTTCTGGAATACAATAAAATTCTGAAGAGCATTACTTCTATCATTTCAACCAGGATCAATTGTACCAGCAGAAAATTTACCCATATTTAATATATCCATCCTACTACATCTCCAAAGGACAGAATTACTTTTTTCAGTTATATATATATATTTCTTTATAGGAGAAGGAAAATTTATTGGCAAAAAAAAAAAAAAAAACAATTGTAGGGAAAAAAGAATCAATTAAATACCCTCAAAAATGTAGTGAAAATATCATCACCATGAACTTTTAATGGCAAAATGTCTGCTATAGCCTTTGGAAGAACAGAGTTCCCTGAGAATAAGGTTCAAGAATGCCTGCCTTATGTTAATCATATACTACACAGAGTGGTATGAGAGTCAGCAAAGTGGAGAAAGCACTGAACTGCTGAACTGCCACGTGGCTAATGGGTTTAACTCTGGTATATACTGACTTTGTGACGTTTAGAAAGTCATTTAACTTCTCTGGCTTCAGTTTCCTTATCTTTTAAATAAGAAACTTAGGTTAGATGATATTTAAGATACATTTCTATTTTATTCCCCTTCAGGTATCATAACAAGATACCACAACCTGAGTGTCTTAACAGAAATTTGTTTCTTACAGCTCTGGAGGCTAGAAAGTCCAACATCAAGGTGACAGCCAATTTGGTTCCTGGTGAGGGCTCTTCTCCTTGATATGCAGATGGCTGCCTTCTTGCTATGTCCTCACATGTCAGGGAGCCAGTGAACTCTGGCATTTCTTCTTATAAGGACTAATCCTAGCAGATCAGAAACCCACCCTTACGACCCCATTTAACCTTAATTGCCTCCATAAAAGCCCTATCTCCAGATACACTGCTGGGCTTTAATGTATGAATTTGGAGGTGGGGTGGGACAAATATTCAGTCCATAACAATTTCCATCAATAAATTCTATTTTTTTAACCCTGTCTCAGACAGTTTTTAAAATTTAAACCATGTTGTCATATCTATCTTATGCTACGTGAACCTAAAAGTAAATTCTTCTCCATGGAATTTCTTATTTGCTCATTATTGATTTCATAATCAATTGCCTGCTATTCCTTAGGTACTGTTCTAGGTTTCAGGAAGTCATTAATAAACAAAAATGACAAAAATTAATTTCTACCTGGAGCTTACACTCCATCGGTGAGGCAGACAATGCCTAAGAGTAAAATCTATACCATGCCAGATAGCATTAAATGCAAAGAGACCAAAATAAAGCAGGAAAGGGCATTATGAACTATTGCGGCAAGGGAAGTTGAAATTTTAGATGGAAAAGGAAGTGAGAAACTGGCTGTGTGTATATCTGAGAGGAGAACACACCAAGCAGAGAAAACAACAAGAATCAAAGAGGCTGAGGTAGGGAAGTGGTTGGTTGTTCAGGGAAGAGCAAAGAGGTCAATATCATTGGAACAGAGTAAATGAAACTTACGGTATTAGGAGATGAAGTTCCAGAGGTGTCAGAACCAGGCCATTTAGGCTCGGGTTGATTATTTTCTAAAAAAAGATTTTTCTTTATTACTCTGAGTGTAATGGGAAGCTATTAGGAAGTTTAGACTGGTAGAAAGTGGGGCAAGATCTGGCTAATGTTTTAACAAGATCACTCTGATTGGGGCATTGAAAAAACTTTGGAGAGTACAGAGAAGGAAGGGGACCAGTTAAGAGGCTACCGCCTTAGTCCAGCTAAGAGATTAGGGCTTAATTTTATGTGGGAGTGGAGGTTTCTAGAAGGTAGTCCAATTCCCTTATAGTTTGAAAATGGAAAGAGCAGAATTAGTTGTTGTTTTGGACTATATATTGATGACGAGTTCTAGCACGTTTATCTTTAATTCCAAGTATATTTTTTGTATATATATTTTTTTTTTTTTGGTAGAGACAGGGTTTTGCCATGTTAGCCAGGCTTGTCTTGAACTCCTGACCTCAGGTGATTGACCACCTTGGCGTCCAAAGTGCTAATATTACAGGCGTAAGCCACTGCTCCTAGTTATAACTCACTAGTTTGTGAGTTTATCAGTTTATCAGTTTCTGTAATGAACATGACTTCTATCCTTTTCTAAGTGTTTCTATAAAATATCAGATGGGCTCCTGTCATAAATAGACCTCTGTATCAGCATAAATTACCTCCATTTAAAAAATACTGAACATTCAATATCTTTGGAGTAAGGATTGTTTATCCATCAATGCAGTTGAATTCAACTCAGTTCTCTAGTAACAGCTAAAAAGCTCCTATACATACTAGGTCTTCAGGACAGGGTAGTGATAAAGGAGAGAGTATTCATATATGACTAGGATATAACTTTCTCAAAGAAAGGTTGAAAATGTGGTAGAGACTGCACACAATCTTGTTAAGTGGTGGGATGTGGTTTGTAATTAAGTCATTTTAGGGAAATGGCTAATTGACTTGTGTGATCACAGGCCAAAGAGGGTATGGATATGACTCTGGGAAGGTGGCTGAATCAGGTGTGGAAGTTCTGACATGCTAAGAACTGGCTCTATTTCGCGTGAGGGACATTGGAGGTTTTAGTTTGTGGAATGGGATGGGTATGACTGTATGTGGGAGATGCCTCTAAAAGCAATGAGGCTAGGAGAAGGTTTCAGAGCAAGGCTAGAGTCCAGTTAGGTTACTGCTGCCTCTGTTCATTGGAGAGAAAGGTGACAATGGAGAAGAAAGAAGGGAATGGTGTCAGAGCTGTTTAAAAGGAAAAGTTACAGAATCACTTAGTGAATCAGGTATGAGAAATTAAAGTAGAAGTCAATTCAGATACTGCAACTGTGCAGCTGTGTAACTTTGTGGGTTGAGAAACAGAAGGCAAAAGAAAAAAAAATCACCTCTTTTTTGTTTTGTTGTTTTGTTTTGCTTCAAGAAAAGAAAAATCATGTCTAGTTTGAGACAGACAGGCCAGAGTCCTATATTATTAAATCTCATTGCTAATCAAGAGGTGGTACTTCTGATTCCAAAATTTCAAGATCATTGGTAGTTTCATGTATTGTTGCTAGCAATAAAAATGTTACAGTATATTTTCAAAGCATACATTACTTATACACATTGACCTAGTTATCTTACTCCAGAGAACTTATCTAAAATATAGTTTTGTAGCTTGTAAATGTTATTGAAGAAGTCTTTCACTGAATTTTTTTTTTGTCTTTATGAAAAAGGGAATCTAAAATGCCCCAGGAAAAGGGAATGATAAATTAGTTAGCTTACAACCTGAACAAATAAAATGTAATTATTTAATTAGAAGTATTATATAATGGCTCAAGCCTGTAATCCCAGCACTTTGGGAGGCCGAGGCGAGTGGATCACGAGGTCAAGAGATGGAGACCATCCTGGTCAACATGGTGAAACCCCGTCTCTATTAAAAATACAAAAAATTAGCTGGGCGTGGTGGTGCGTGCCTGTCATCCCAGCTACTCAGGAGGCTGAGGCAGGAGAATTGCCTGAACCCAGGAGGCGGAGGCTGCGGTGAGCCGAGATCATGCCATTGCCCTCCAGCCTGGGTAACGAGAGTGAAACTCCGTCTCAAAAAAAAAAAAGAAGTATTATATAAGACGATATTTCAATACAGAGAACTATTGTGATATATTTTCAGAGAACATAGGAAAACACAAAATATATCAAATTTATACATTTATATCAACATTAAGAATTCTGTAGTAAAGATTACAAAAGATTTTAGGAACAGAAAAAAAGGGTTAAGACAGCATCTAACTTGAAGTTTGAGCCAGACAACTTTAAATCCTGCCTACAACACATATGAAGACACAAAGAAAAACTGAAAACCACAGCATTGAAAAGGAGAAATGAAACCCTATAAAATGTCAGAATGTGAACGAAATTTCGACTATGTACAATGCCCCTGTGGCCTCTGTGTGGAAGGCCAACAAGAAACAAAGCAAATCCACCAGCTTAGCAAAATAGAAAGGCACTTTGTTCTTGTAGCTACAGCCTTCCTGCCTTAGAAATGTCACCCCCGAATCAACCACAAAGGCTCATTCAGCCCCCTTAGGGATGAGAGTTCTTTGTCAAGAGTTATATATTGCTAATATCTTTAATTCTATGGCTTTCCTCTCCACTTTATTTATAGCATCTTTTCATGCACAGAAGTTCTTAAATTCTTTTCTTTATGATGTGTGCTTTTTGTGTGTAAAAATATGTTCTAACCTGAGGTTATTAAGGTTTCTCCTGTATTATCTTCAGAAAGCCTTATAGTTTCACTTTTCACATTAATCTGTCACCAACCAAGAACTGGTTTTTGTATACGGTGTGATGCGACAGGCTAACTTCATTTTTTCATATGTACACCTAATCATCTCAGCCTCATTTATTAAAATATAGTTATTTTTACTGTAGCTACTCTCTGTCACTATGTTGGTTATAAATCTAGCATTCATAAATGCATATATCTATTTTTGAATCCTCTATTTTTTTCCATTAATTTGTTTATTCTTAAGCCAAAATTACACGTTCATCATGATTTTTTCCTTTCAACAAGTCTTTCTGTATGATAGAAAAATTCCTTCCATATTCTTCTTTTTGAGTGTTTTGGCTAGTATTGGCCCTAGGCTTTTCCATCTACAGTTTAAAATCAGCTTATTTATTGTCACCAAAGAAAAACCTGTTGGAATTTAGATTGCTATTTCATTTACTCTACAGATCAATTCTGGAAGGGTAACAACATTAAAATATTCAGTTTTCCAATCCATGATCACACTTCATCTATCCATTTATTTTGATCTTTTATACCTCTCATTAAGTTTTATACTTTTTCCTCTAGAGAACTAACACGTCCATTAGATTATGCAGAATTACTTGATATTTTTGTATACCATTGTGAAGATATTTTTAAAAAATCTCATTTTCTCTTTGCTACTTTTATTATATTTCTAAATCTCTTCTGAGATAGTAAATCAAAAAATCTGGAAAATATAGAAAGCTACAAAGCAAATATACAAACAGTTCCATTGTACTCTTTATCACCATGACTGTATATTTTAATTCTATAATGACATTTTTAGTTTCTTTGGAAACTAAAAATCCTTGTTTATTGTATCCATTTCCCCACTCCTCCCTCTTTTGTTTTTTGTCTTATTCTGTTAGACAGGAAGTAGAGAGAAACCTGTGGTGTGGTATTGCAACTCTGAAATAGAACTTTTAGGCAAGGAAATAATTTAAAAACAACAACATTGTAGTAGTAGTGTAGACTATAGATGGTAGATTGTCATAGATCATGTACGATCATCCTGTAACCCAAGCACATAATGGAGACAGAGAGAGGTTCATCTTGGTATGGAAGAGCCACATTCCATGACTATGAATAAGGAATTGAACTGGGAATTACACCTTGACTTCAATGACAATTTGACTCTTGCTCTAAAGGACAGGTATATATAGTATCTCTCACACACATAATGGTAGTGAACAAATCGTTAAAGGTTTCCTCTTTGTTAAGGAAAAATAAATAAAAAAAGGTCAATAGAGTCAAAATATTAACAGCAAACATTTCCTGAGTATATACTAAGTGATTTACATATACTAGTTCATTTAATATCAACACTGCTAGAAATTGGTTATGATTGTTATCTCTAATTTGCAGCTGAGGGCACTGTGCCACAGCATGCCATGTGATCCAGAGGACTCCATCACCCATACCTTCCCAGTGTTACTCTTTTATAGCTAAGCATTTCTTATACACATCTTGCCTAAGTCAGATTATGGAAACAAAAATGTTAATACAAGCCAAACAATGGTGATATCCTGTGGAGCACAAAATATTAGTCATCCACAGCTTCTTCACCTAGAAATAGGAATCGTAATAATTACTGTAAACTCCGCCTTTAAATGCAAAGCATAGTCTCTCTACTCTTCCTTTAATAACAAAGAATGTCCCTCCCTACCACTTATCCCATCAAAATTTTAACCCGTCTCTATGTTATCTCTATTGTGAATAACACCTTTTCAAATATTGGCTTTTTCTTTGGGTAATCAAACACTTCACTATAGTTCACATGAAGTATGCATGTTATTCAAAATAATCAAACAGAAGAAAAATGATATTTACATTGTGTTCTTATGAGAAAGTTATTCCACACACCTTGCTGGTGTTTAAGTCCCATATATTTCTAAGACTCTCTCTCTCAGCTCACAGGGAACATAATATGTGCTATTCAGAAGGGGTGAATACTTTAAAAATAAGCTTTTGGAAAGTATACTTGAAAAATGTTATTAGAATGTTTATTCCTCTTTCTTCTGGTGATACATAATTTGATTCTATATTATTTAGCAATTAGCATAAATTGATCAAATCCACTAACAGAATCATATAAAATCTTTCACCACATGTGCTAATTAAATTTTTGCTAATATAATTTCATTTACATTTCCAAAAGTACTCATTTAAGAAGTTTAAGAAAGATTAACATGTTGTTTTTCTTCTATGAATAATTGCATTTTGATTTTTTAAAAAGCTGCAAAAATCTCCTATTTCTCCTGTTAAACTAGAAGAAAAAGGAAAATAAAGAAATTACCTTTTTTGAGGTGGAATTCTACATCTGTATTTTCCAATGATGACCTATATTATAATTTAGCAAAAACTGTTTGCTAATTTTAAGAGTATCTGCCTTTCTAAAATATTGTTTTCAGTTCGTAATGTTTTTGTAGCTCATACTGAAGAATAAACTGAAATAAGCAACTGACTGTGGTTTACAGTGGTAATCACACCTTCTAAAGCTATCATTAATGCCATTAAAAATGAGTTGCCTGAAGCCTCAGTCGTTTTCTGTGACACCCTATGCCATTTAATAAGCACATCATTCATCAATTGCTTGCTTTGGTCTAAGTGGCCTCAAATTAATCATCTTTAAAGAAATGCTATTTTAAAGACAGTGGGAAGATAAGACCTAAATACACATTTTAGTGACAAAAGTTCAGAAAGTCAGAGAAAATAAAAAAGTATTCTTCTGTTTTTCCCATTTATCTTATCACTCGCTTAATCAATCTATATGTATTAAGCCCAAATTATGCTCTAAGCACTAATGTAGTAAAGAGTTTACATATAGGACATGAATAGATTACTATTAAAGAGTTTGGCTTCATGATACATTTTAATATGGATTGTTCAACTACACACTGCCTCCTAATTTACTAATTCCCATTTTAGGATGTGAATTCTTTGCCTTCCCACTCAGTTTCTTTGAGTATTGCAAAGCAGCAGAACACAACCCCTTAGCCCCTACAGATATGTTTTCTGACGAGTAATACTGTAAACATATTTCTGTACTCAAATTTTTCTGTGGTCTTCGACCTTTTCAGATGAGACTGTAGATAAAAACCTTTTGATTCCAAAGCTTCGAGGCTATCATGGTAAATTTCTTAGAGGAAGTTTTTGCTACTGTTTAGGGAAGACTGTTAAGAGTGAAAACATTGTGTCCTCACTGGAATAGTTTGGGTTCTTCTGCTGCCCAGGAGCAGGTGTTTAGCTGCCTGGAACTAGGATCCAGACCCTAGATATTCCATTCTGTTTATGGACTGTTCATTTCAGTTCAATTTACAGGCTCTCATAGAAAAAAACTATAATCTCCTTTCTTTCTCTTTCTCTCATTTCCTATCTTGAAAGTTGCTTTAGAAATCTCACGACAAATGATGTAATTATAACTGTGGCTTATTTTTCCTGCAAGAAAGCCTTTGTTTCTCTGAAAAGTACACCCACTCTTTCTCATATGAAGACACTTCACCTCTTACTTCACCTATCTGGATACTGCAAATGCCCTGATTCAGCCTCACCTTTCATTCCCTGGGTACTATCATCTCCTCCACCTGTCATATAGTGTGTTTGTTAAGTATAACGATGCATTTAAAGCATATAACACAGCCCTATAAACAACAATACTACTTAGTGGCAGTAACAATAAGCAGTAAAATAAAAAGGGCTTTCCTTGAAAGTAAATATATTCTCAAATGATTATACACCTGAAGATAACGGACAAGAGAAAAAAGAAATAAGTGACCGACTTACATTTGTGGCATACATTATTTACTTCAAAATTCGTACCTTAGGAAATTATATGTACTATGGAAATTTCTTTCTAATTATCATGGGGTTAACGCAGAGCTGTTAGTGATACACCAAAATAAAGAAGGTTGATTTAGCTCCAATTGCAAGTCTAAGACGTGAGGTTTTTTTTGCTTTTGTTTTTTGTTTTTTTTTTTAGGTAGTACAGTCAAAATATTCTTAATTTACTCAAAATTCTATTTATATATTTTACTTTACGAATGTAAACAATTTAAATGTATCTCTTATTTATTTTATATGGAGAAAATACTTTTGTATCAAACAATTGTTTTAAAACATAGTAATAATTTTGAATAAATATTTAGGGTAGGAATGAATTAAGTAGAGTTAATTTAGTTAAACTTCAACAATTCAATAGGGAGTAAATAACGGTATCTGGTATAATATATTTTTGATGATTTAGCAACAGATAAATTGTTAGCACCTTTTTCATAGAACGAATATCTATGCTTATTTTAGAATTTTTTGGTCACATTTTCAGTAGTCTGAAATCTTTCAGTAAAAAGTAGAAACATTTAATTCTTATTCATAAAAAACTATTAGTTGATTACCTAGAACAGATGAGGGATACAACGGAAAGAACAAGATACAGCATTTTGGGGGGAAAAGTCTACCAAAACTCTATGTATAGTTGAATGCATTAAATTTTCCATTCCTTTGAAATTTTGTACAACAGAATTAATGAACAGAGACCTAATACAAATTAGCTTAAGCAAAAATAGAATTTATCGGTTCAAGTACTTTGAAAAGTTCAGGGTTAAGACTGGGATTGAGACTGATCATAGGCACACTAAATAATCCAGAAAGCTCCAATGATGTCAATAAATGAGTTAGACTCAGTATCTCCCCTTTCCTCACCCTCTCCCTCATGGATACCAGAAGAGGACTATAAATCATTATACAGATCAACCTGGACATCTCTTGTTCATGTATAACCTTTCTTCTACTTCACCTATATTGTTATTACCCAATAGGTCTAAAGGAATGATTTCACAAGCAATATCAAACAACTGTGTAATGAGTTTTTATAAAGAATTGATTCCATAGGCTAAAAGCATTATTCATAATTAATAGAATATAAAAAAACTGTAATTATAAAAACATGCACCTACTTTCCAAATTTTTCTTAGTTTTATTTAGTGTATGATCAGCTTTAAGTGTAATTTATATACCGTAAGATGCACTCATTTAGTGTGCAGTTCAATTAGTTTTGATAAATACATGCATCTGTGTCACCTCCTTAATCAAGACATTTAATATTGCCATCACTCAAAAAGTGCCTGTGCCTTTTTGTGGTCAGTTCTGTCTACTCCTGGCCCCAGCCTACCACTGATCTCATTTCCATCACTCTAAATGAGGCTCACTGCTTCTAGAATTTTATGTAAATAAAATCGTGGTGTCAACTCTATTGAGTTTGCTTCTTTCATTCATGGTGTTGTAGAGATTCATTCATATGGGAACCTATGTCAGCAGTTTGTCCTTTCCTCCCTTTTTTGGCTGGGTGGTATTCCACTGTATGAGTACATCATCATTTGTTTATCCATTTCCATGTTGATTTAGAATAAACTTTCGAATTAGCTCTAATTAGAAGATATTTTAAATTAAGCAAGTTCTTATGTGTCTATATGTCTTCATTTCTTTTGGGTAAATACCTGAAAATAAAATAGATGGATCATAATGATAACCACATGTTTTACTTTATAAGCAATCATAAACGGTTTTTCAAAGTGTTTATAACATTTTACATCCCAAACAGCGATGTATGAATTCCTGTTCCTCACCCTGGCGAGCACTTGCTGCTGTTGATATGTTAAATTTTAGGTATTCTGGGATGCATCGTGGTACATATCACCGTGGTTTTCATAAACATTCCCCTGCTGACTCATGACACTGAGTGCTTTCCTGGGCCTCATCTTAACTGTTACCTTTAAACTCCTCATAGTAGATTTAAAAATTGACAAAGCAGCCACAAAACATTCTCTTGTGATTAACTGATATGAAACTTCATTTTCGTGCATTTATTCATCTTGTGATTACTGAATGTCTTCTAGATGGGCACTGTGCACCTGCTAAGGGTACAGAGGGAATACAGCTTGAAGCACTCTCTCATGAAGCTTACTTATACTCTGTAAGCTCTATGGAAGTGAATGGCACTTGTGAACTGCTGAGGATGACAAAAGATTATAGTTGTCAAATGTTTTGTTTCACGGAAACTCAGAATACGTGCAACGAAATAACAGTACTTTAGCCAGAGGTATGACATGACTGACTACATATTTTAGAAAGCTATTTTTGCTCTGTTTAAAACCAGAG